CTTCCTATAGGTAACGTAACTGTAAGTTTTCTTTTCAAGCAGGAGCATTAAATTATAATGTATTGTTATCTTAAAAAACAAACGAACGAGATCTAATAAATAGTAATCAATACCAACACTTGGATATAATTTTAGCAAGTTTCCCAAAAGAGAATAAGTTATTACCGTAGCATTCTAATAATAGGATATTGCTAATCTTAGGTAAGTTGGTGTTTTTGGATAGGCCACATTGATTTCAATTAAGAAGATGCTAAAAAAATAATAGCAATGTTAACATCAGACGGAATGAGCTATACAACTGGCATAATTAAATTTAGATAATACTATATGGATAGGAAAACTAACAGTACCTAATTAAAATAAGGGGTATGTTTACGAAAAATCGACTTACTTGTTATTATTGTGTCTGAACATGTAAAATATAATTTATTTCCACATAGCCTTCTGCATTTAACTATAACGTTTTTTTTCAAAATTACTGTAAAACTGTTGCCTAAATATAGGTAGATTGAAATTCACTATTTATTTTTCCAGAAAACACTAGGCCTACCAGGAGATTTTTTAAAAGGATAAATATATACTGAAGAAGATTAAAGGATTAGTTTGGCTTACATAGGATTCTTTAACTTTTAATAATTGGTCTGCAAATAGTTTATAATTAATTACATAACATCATTAAACGACTAATCTAGTTCTATCAGTGTTCAAAGGAGGCTCTGGATTGGAAGAAATCGCTCCGATGTTTCGTTCCGATTTCAATTCCGCTGTCCCGATTCCAGATTCTTTGCTCTGTGTTCCAGGCAGACGACACAATGCGTTATATTCGGACCTCGGCTATATTCGTTATGGTTCGGAAGCGCTCGGGATGGCGTGGTGGTGCTGGGTTATTTCCTCCAGAGAAGGTCTCGTCAATGACCGTGGCATTCTGACTCCGCCCACCACTGACACACCCCTCCTTCCCCTACAACGGGTCTCCGCCTTCGGTTCTTGCTCCTCCCTCAACCAATGTTGGAGCCCAGGCGTTACTCCGAAAGGCAGTGGTCAGAAAAGAATGCATTGCTAAGGCACTGGTTCGAAACAATCTGCACGCTCAGGCACTGCTCCGAAAGACAGTGGTCCGAGAGGCAGTGGTTCGAAAATAATACAAAGATGAGGCACTGGTCCGACAGATTTAGCATGGTCAGGCACTGCTCCGAAAGGCAGTACTCAGAAAGGCAGTAGTCCGAAAATGATTTTCGAACCAGTGCCTTTCGGAGCACTGCCTTTCGGACCACTGCATGGATCTCCAGCATATCAGTCTGGCACGCTAACCACTAGACCACCGAGGCCGATGGCTTCTGCTCGTATTGTTACGGTAATGGCGTTCCCTCAGCTAATAAGAAGCCCACAGCTGTCATCGTAGCCTCTTCTATACCTCCCCTGAGTAAATACCATGCCTTTATCCCCACTCCTCGCGGACAGAAACAGAACGAGGCAGTGGCGGACCGTTTTTCGATACCTACTTCAACCTGAGCGCGCAATCCAGGGAGTTATCTATCCTATCTATCTATCTATATATTAATAGGCAAGCATGTTTCTTTAAAACCTTTTTTCTCAGCTCGTGTGAATCGTAGGGAAAATCTACGCATACCGTTGGAAAGCTATTTTCCTGTAGGTGTGCAGAATCCCTTTATAAATTTAAATAGGCTCAAAGATAAGCACAAAAAATGAGTTTAAAAATTTGAAAAAATTAACATGGATCTTATGCGTTGCTATGCTGGTTACGAAATAACAACGAAATATAAACAGAAAATCAAAACAAATGGAGGAAACTCCAATCACATGTTTTATTTACAGTGTGGGGTGAAAATAGATAAGTGAGTACATTACATATTTTTGGTCGAGTTTCGACCACTGGACGACCTTTCGTATATATTAATAGGCAAGCATGTTTCTTTAAAACCTTTTTTCTCAGCTCGTGTTTATCGTGGGGTAAATCTACGCATACCGTTAGAAAGCTATTTTCCTGTAGGTGTGCAGAATCCCTTTATAAATTTAAATAGGCTCAAAGATAAGCACAAAAAATGAGTTAAAAAATTTGAAAAAATTAACATGGATCTTATGCGTTGCCATGCTGGTGACGAAATAACAACGAAATATAAACATAAAATCAAAACAAATGGAAGAAACTCCAATCACATGTTTTATTTACAGTGTGGGGTGAAAATAGAGAAGTGAGTAAGTTTACATTACATATTTTTGGTCGAGTTTCGACCACTGGACGACCTCTCGTTATAATTATACATCGATGCAAGGAACAAGTCGAGTCGACCGGACCGACCGACAAACAAAATAAACAACACAAACCAAACATCAGACAGAAAATCAGAACAGCTGAATAGCAGAAGATGTTAAACACCGTCGTGAAGTTAGCGGCTCTTTAGTCTTTTCATCGGCGCTTTTTCGAATTGTAATAGATATGTGTTGGTACGCCTGCGGACGCCACAAAAGTGTTTTGCGGGGATGTCAGAAATACAATTCAATGACAATACGGCGCAAAATGATGTTTTTACATGTATATAATTTAATAATACTGAATATTCTACACGCTGTATATTACCATTATAATAGCTCAAAGTTGATTTGATGGGCTTAGGAAAAAGATCAAAGATCATGCACTTTTTATGTTAGGAGTTTTAACTGAACGCGTTTTGTGAAGCCATAGCTACGTATAATGTACAATACAGCCTCAAATGCCTATTAAAATACATGAATCAATTAGTTTTAACGTGTATACATGTTTTATCAAGGTATTGTATTATTGACATCGCGCTGTACTGTCATTGTATTGTTTTTCCGACAAAACACGTTTGTGGCACTGAGCTATAATTCTAACTGGGGGTAGCACTGAATGTCAACGATGCGTGTCGCCAGCCGCCATGTTTGCGTGAGGTGTGAGTTATAAAGAAGCCATGTTATTGGATGAAAAAACTCACTGCTATGCAAACCTAGTTATAGAAGCCATGTTATTGGATGAAAAAGCCTGCTGCTATACCAACCTAACAAAATCAGCGACACGCTTTCTTCAGCGACAGACTTCTGCCATGGCAGTGCTACCTGCCACAAACCACTGAGCTAAAATTATAACTGGAGGTAGGCTACCTCCAGTTATCTATATCTATACTATTATATAAAAATCTAATGGTTTCTGTATGTGTATTACTAATAGGTGCAAAAACTACTGAACCAACTGGGCTTAAATTTTACAAAAATATAGTTACCATACCAAGGACCATTATAGGACTATTCACACTTCCATACTGACCCTGGGCTTTGCCCCTTTGGCTTTAAAGTTTCTGAGGTGAGGATTTTAAAAGTAAATATTGATTGGTCTCCATGGCTGCAATGAGAATACTCACAATGTTTACATTTGCTTTGACATTTCAATGTAAACAAGAAGAACTGCCAAATTGCATATTTCACATTTTAAGACAGCTGATCCAATGAAATTTAATATAATATTTCATACAATTATGTGGTTGGTTTATTTAATCTAAAAATTTATCAAATATCATTTATTCAAAAACTATGTCAATGATTATAGAAATAACAAAATATTCTAAACGCATTGCTGCATCACCTCAGGCTCTACTTTTGATTTTAAGGTGTCTTAAGTGTTATGAAAATAATGTTATTGATATTTTTTCATGGAAACAATAAGAAAATAACAATGTATAGATGTTTTATATGAATTTGGAGTCTAATTTAAGTAAATTCGCACTGCTTAACATGTGTAAGATTAACTTAACATAACTTTCACATCACATTGTTTTTTTTTTTTTTATATGTATATTTAGTTATTGTGTTTTGCTACTATACCAATGCTTAAATTAAACTAAAGAATATCATCAATAACTAAATTGTATATCGTTGATTTAAATACTATTATTTTATCTTAACATAGTTTTCAGTTCACATTTACTTTATTTGATAAATTTATTATTTGTGTTTTGTCACATCACTGATTAAATTAAATGAAAGGAAAATATAATAAAACTAAGCAGTACACAGTGTTCTTTTGTTTCTAAAATCAATGAAATATCTGTTACCATGTTTACTTAATGGTAAGTGTGAAAATGTAAAGGCAATAGACGATGGAACTGATTAAAAGAACTGGTATGATATTAAGTTGTTTGTTGATATTTTTGTAGAGTAGAATCAGAGATGCAATGAAACATATACTGTATTTGCTATTACATCTTTTTGTCCTTGGTCCTTGATGCTTTGATAATCATATTAGTTTTGTCTGCTGTCGTTAATACTAAAATTATTTGTTTAACATTTTTTATAGTACAGATATAGTTTTTTTAATATTTCAAAAGACTATTGATAAGGCACAATAATATTTCTAAAGATTATAACAGCTGACTTAGTTTTGCTAATGATTTATTGTGAGTGAAGAAACTGAAGATGGAAGGATTTGTGATTTAATATGAAAAAGAGTGAAATTTAAAAAATGTTCATTTAAATTAAAAAATTAGTATTTTTGCAACTTCAAAATAGAAATTTAAAATTTCAAAAATAAAGGAAAAAGGTATGCAACAAAGGGAGATGAAGGTAAATCATGTATGTGAAAGTTTTATTCGAAGATATGGTAAGTTTTTCTCATATCAGCCTACACAAGATTTAAAATTAATCAAACCCAAAATGGTGGTATCCACTACTTACCAGATTTAAAAATGATAACTTAAACGTTTCTATTAAGGCCATAAAAGTTGAATTTTGTTTCTAAAAGCATTGGTGGATGTGTAACTTTATTATATGCAACAGATGTAAAGATAAAAATGTTTCTTTTTTGTGTCCTCTTCCCGTTGCAAAGCACGGGTACAACAGCTAGTAATTTTATATCTATAACAATGAAGCCCCGATGAAAAGAGCCGCTAACTTCCGACGGTCAAGAACCTCCCACTCCCAATTCGTAGATTTCGTTCGATTCGGTACGGTTTGGTAATTGGTAATCATCCAATCCACTCCACAGTCCACATCCCTACCCTATCCATATCCATCATCCATCTCCATCTCCATCACATCACAACAAAACAACAAACAAAAACAAAAAACCCCTAATTAACTGGATGATAAAGAGCCTAAATAAAGTTGAAGCCCAATAACTTTTTGTAGAGGACGCCTTCAATTACTAATTTAGCAAACAGCCCTCGTAAGTCGTACTCGTAACCACTGTAAGTTTTTAAGTCCGTTTATTGAATTTAACCTCGGTATTTTGAGTGTTAAGTTACAGTAGGTTAGCTACCTACTATCACATAAAACATTTAGTAGTATGTTTTCTGTGCTACTATGTTGAACTTTTTAAAATTAACTTAGGCTAAGTAAGTTAGATACTTAGATAAGTATCTTAGGTTATGTAATTGTTTGGACACATTTCTATTTATACTCACTGAATTAGTTAAAATAATAGTTCATTAGTTGCCTTCATTAGCCATCATTAGTTTTTGGATCACCTCTCACCTACCCATTAATTTGTAAGGTTCAGGCTACGATGATAAGATCTTTTTTAAACCCTGGTCTTTTTACTAGCTTATCCAAATCAATAGACCTAGCCTAGTTATGATTGTCTTTGTTTTAGTTAAATGAAGATTAACGAAAAGAACTTAGCTGCATTTGCAACATCAGCTACACCCGTTGATCGAGAAGGCTGGTTGGTTAAAAGAGGAGATGTTAATAAAGGATTCCAGAGACGATGGTTTGTTTTAAAAGGAAATTTGTTGTTCTACTTTGAAAAGCGAGGTGATAAGGAACCTGTTGGAGTTGTTGTGCTAGAAGGATGTACAATTGGTGAGTGTATTACCACTGTACTTTAACCCTCCGAGTGTCCATAGTTTAGGTCTTAATGTCCGCCTATTTTTGGCGCATTTGCAAGGTTTTATTAAAACGGATCTGAGAAGCTTTAAACAATGTTAATTCTAGGCCTACTGTTCTATCTTACCATTTTGTTTGGAAAATCATGGGCTTCAATATTATACATTAAACATAAGGAACATTTGTAGGCTATCAAAAAAATTTTTTAGGTAAAAAAAATATTTTGGAAAATTTTCAAAAAAAAAAATAAGTTTGCGCTCAATGAAATTGTATAAATTATAGGCCTATAAATATTTGAAAATAGCCACTTTGTTCTAAATTTTATGAGGATTACAAATATATAATAATATAAGGAAGTAGATTTGCAAATAAATAAGTTATGGGCAAAAAACAGATTTCAGTAGGCCTACATAGCGTTTAGCGAAGAATGCATAACCATAGCTAAGAATCTGGCTGATAATTTACATCAATATCACTACCTACTTCTTCAGGATCATCAACCAGCCCTTCAAAATCACTTAAATCTTCTTATAATGCACCACGTAACTTATATCACTACTTTTGATTTTTAACACTAAAACAATGATAAACGTAATAAAACACATCAGTCATCGGTCCGAGGGTAACCTAACTTAGCTGTTTACAAATACGCACGTCAGCTGTCTGCTACAATTACGATCGGCTCGGAGAACATAAAGCGCTTAGAGACAGACCTCTGGAGAAAGCTTAGAATCTAACGAAAAGAACGATACCTAACTCGATCCAGTTCAATCCGATTCAGTCAGTCATAGAGCCTTCGCCGTAAACGATGTTCGTGTGTCGAAAAATCGACGCGTGACACTACACAAAGTGTGTCGTGAGTCGATTTTTCGACGAGTGACGCTCAGAGGGTTAACAGGGGCAGACTTCCGTACCTGATGGCACAAACAACCGAATATTGGTAATTATTATTTAAAACTGATTGCATTTTTGGATTCAGCGTTAAAAATACTGTACAGTAAGTAGACATATAAAAATTACATCATATCCCAGTGTAAATAGGCCTACAGTAAATATTTGCCAAAATATCGATTGATATATCAAATGAAACAATTGAATAATCAATATTTTCATTCTGTGGTTTGTGCCAACAGATACGGACTACCCTTTAACAGTATGGGGCTGCACTTAAGTTTAAGTTCTAGGCCTACATTTAAATGTACTCACATAATTTACTGCAGTTTGGTTGAGGTTAGGTTTAGTTTTGAACAGTTTCATTTTATAACCAGCTGGTAGTTAATGTATAACTTAGGCCTAATGTATAATAGTAAATGTAGGACGTAGACTAAAGTGCAACCACGGCCACCTTTAACTACAGGCTGCGACCAGCGAGCATTAACTCCCGGCCGTTTCACCTTACAGTAGTACAGAACTGTTGCAGTTTAAATATAGGCCTACCTAGGCCTACTGCATTTTTACACCCTTACAATTGAGATAAAATTTTGAAATTTGGTACAGAGCTAGGGAATAAACCCTTCATTGCCAATGGTATGGTTTTGAAAATTAAAATTTCATTTGGTAGTATATATAAATATTTTTAAAATTAACACATTAGAAAAAGTTTGGAAAAGTAGTGAAAAAGTTAGTCCCCTACTAAAATTGTTATTCATTATTCATTGGCCTTCATCGTTACCCTCTGGTGAGGGAATAGACTGCGTCGTTGTTTAATACGAAAAACAAAACACAAAAAACAAGACTACACGCACATATAAAATAAAACTGTGTACAGTCTAACCTTGATATAACGAACCTCGATATAACGAATTCCTTGATATAACGAATTTTTTTTTAATCCCCTAGAACTCTCCATAAGACACAATGTATATTTTACCTCTACATAACGAACAAACCATAACAACGACCTTGATTTAACGAATTTTTCGTGATTTCGGCTAAAATAAGACATCTCAATATAACGAATTTGTCATTGTCAGAACCTCTACATTGCGAATTTAACCTCTGCATAGCGAATTAGCTACGTCTTTCCCTCGATATAACAAATCCTCCACCCAACTATTGTTTTGGGAAAATCTGTTTCTTTATCAAATGAAATGGAAAGGTCACGTCATCGCTTGCGCTAACATTCGTCTGCTCCGTTTTACATCTTTGTCTGCTGTCGCTGCGCGCGCTATGTTGCAACTGAGAACTGAACTGATTTCATTTACTGAGGACGACGTAATGTTTAGTAAGCTGTGATTGGGCGATATGGGGTAACTATGGTGAATTGTACAATTTTTGGATAAAGAGAAAACTAAGAAAGAATATAAAAACAAAACCAAAGAGAAAGAATAGCAACATTGTTATCTTAACATTCCTTTTACGACTGTTTTTATTATCCTTAAGTTGGCTATGATTATACACTTTTATAATGACTTATCTAATAATTTATTGTTATCAATACGATTTGTTTCAACTATCAACACCAATGCTACAGTTAATGATTATTATTGACATTCCTCTGTTGTGATAAATCAGTACTGTACTGTAAGTAGCCTACCGGCCTATCACGAGCAGTAGCTTACAAAACTTTCTACTGTTTTGGTTTGTTCTTTACATGGTTTATGACTACGCAATAAAGTGTTTGGCTAGGTTTTAGGAGGGTTAGAACAAGCTGTGATTTTAAACTTAAAGTTTTTAACCTGTACCAAGGTCAATGCCATTGTCATGATTGCGCAATGTTCAAGATCCCTCCCCTTTATTATGTCATGCCAGATAATTTAGGTTCTACTGTACAATGTAAACACTGTACCGTAAAGTATTGAGCCTATGCTACTTTAATTGTATTTTAATGAGGTCAAATCCCGACCTATATTGACCGACGCTGGTTCTGAACCTCAACTTGGTGAAATTCCTGCAACCCTAACCTCTATATAACGAACCTCGTTTTAACAAAATCCTTGATATAACGAATATTTAGTTCGGTCCCTTCAGATTCGTTATACTGAGGTTGGACTGTATTAACATGGCGGGCAGGCAGTATGCGGTACAAAAAATTAGTTGTCCCGCTCCAAATTGTCCTTAAAGAAATCATCTACTTTGTAGTATGGTCTATTGATCAACAAGTCTTTCACAGCACTCTTGAACTTCCGGTCGTCCAGACATCGAATGCTGGAAGGGAGTCTGTTGAAGAACTTGATGGCTGACATAGGGAAGGAATTGAGCGTCCTGCTCAATCTCGCTCGGGGAACATCGAGATCCTGCCTAGCTCTGGTATTATGGGCGTGGATGTGGCTTCTGGTGTTGAGAAGAGGAACACTGCAATTGATTTCAATCAGGCAGGCGTAGATATAGTGTCTGCAGACGGTTAGAATTCCGAGTCTCTTGAATATCGGTTTGCAGTGTTCTCTAAAAGGACTCCTTGAGATGATACGGACTGCCGCTTTTTGAAGCTTTAAGACTTCCTCCTCTTCCGACGCATGACCCCAAAGGTGTAGTCCATACGCAATGTGCGAATGAAACAGGGCATGGTATACCATGAGCAGGTACTGCTCCGGGACACATTTCCGGAGGCGCCTGAGGAGACAGTTTACTCTTGCAAGTTGTGTGGCAACATGGGTCATTCCAGTCTGTTAAAGATGTAATTTATTCATATTATAATGTCCATAATAGTTATGTTAGAAAAGAACATATGATGTTTCCTTGGCAACAGAGTTTAGTTGTTTGTTATATTTTGATGAAGTAAGATGTTAGTACAAGATGTAAGATGTTGTTACAAATCTAAGTTTTTCGTTTAAAAAATAGAGTTTTCTCTGTAAATCTTCAGGACTGATGTCGCTAATTCCATCGCTGCCAAATCCGGGAATTAAATCACTAGACATTATTTTTGGGGCTAAAAACTGAGGATTAAATTTTGATCAAAATGAAAATAACGAGTGACCGTCTTTTGCTCGTAACACAGATGTGAGTTCAATAAATATAGTTTATAATAAGTGTCTGGTTAAAAGTATAAAATTACTTTTTACCAGATTTTTTAATTCCACCACCAACTAAAGGTCCTTTTTGTGCAGCCTTTTGTTTAGCTTCAGCCAACGCCTTTTGCGTTTCCTTCTGTTTTTGCTTTAATTTCATATCCTCTTCATCCATTTCTGCTTTTTCTTTCTTCGGCGCTTTCAGTGGTTTCTTCTTGCCTCCTTCTCGACTAGACATTTTAAATAATTAATTCAGTAACCACGCTATAAAAATAATTATTTCAATTTCAATTTTCAATTCACAGTCACACGAACGTATTTCCTTTTTATGGGACGCTTGCATCAGAGAACGTTGTTTTGCCTTGGTTTCCTCATCTAATTGTGTGTTCATCATCAACTCTTGCAGAGCCAGGGTGTGTTTGTTCATGAACTGAAGTCTCTGTTGAAACAGCTGTTTCTCTGTCACATGTTGAATGTCCATCAGGTTGCCAACAATTCCAAACACTGTGTTATCCAGTAGAGACTCTGCTAGACCACACAACAATTCGTTGGGAATCCTCTGTTGATACTTTGGAGGTAAATCCTTTGCCATTACTGGAGTTGCCTCCCTAGCATTGGCTCACGGTGAGCGACTAGTCCCTGGTCTCCTCACCAAAACAAGAAAAACTGCATCTGACTGAGACGCAAGATGAAGTCTAATAGTCGGATCTGCACCTGTATCTTGACAGGGTCGCTGGTCACCTCAAACCCCGGCACACCAGCCATTTCTAGGATCCGCTGTTGGTCACTCACCTTCTTGTCCAATTCTGTAACTAGCTTCATGTCAAACAGTTTGATGTTAAAACAGCATTTTTGAATGGCAATCTTGTGAAAGAGATTGGCGCAATTGAAGAAAAGTCTATTCCTATACTACATGTGGACAATCAAAGTGTGATTAAACTTATGAACAATCCAATGTTCCACGATCGCTCTAAACATATTGTTAAATAGTTTTCTTATTATAGTATGTTTTAGAAAGCTGAATGCAAA